GGAGGCTGAGGCAGGCAGATCACCTGAGATCAGGAGTTCAAAACCAGCCTGGCCAACATGGCAAAACCCCATCTCTACCAAAAAAACAAAAATTAGCCAGGTGTGGTGGTGCAAGCACATAATATCAACGACTCAGGAGGCTGAGGCAGGCGAATCGTTTGAACCCAAGAGGCAGAGGTGGCAGTGAACTGAGATTGTGCCACTGCACTCCAGCCTGGGCAACAGAGCAAGATGCCATATCAAAAAAACCCCTAAAAACTAACACACACACACACACACACACACACACACACACACACACACACACACACACACATTTTATTTACAGAAATTTGTGGCTGGCCTCCAGTTAGTAATTTGCAGACTCCTGGTCTGACAGGAAGGAACATGCCCTCCTCTTTCCCTACTTCTCTTTCTATTAGCTGGTGCTATGATTTACATGTTTTTGTACCCTCCAAAAATTCATATTGGAATTTATTCCCCAATGCAACAGTATTGGAAGGTGTGGCCTTTAGGAGATAAGATTGAGTAATGAGGGCTTTGCCTTCATGAATTGGATTAAGTTCCCTTATAGAATGGCCTGATGGGGGAGTTCACTCCTTTTTTGCCCTTCAGCCACCATGAACACCCAGCGTTCCTTTCCCTGGAAAATGCAGTAACAAGCCACCCTCTTTTTTTTTTTTTTTTTTTTTTTTTTTCTGAAACAGAGTTTCACTCTTATTGCTCAGGCTGGAGAGCAATGGTGTGATCTCAGCTTACCACAACCTCCACCTCCCGGGTTCAAGCAATTCTCCTGCCTCAGACTCCTGAGTAGCTGGGATTATGGGCATGTGCCACCACACCTGGCTAATTTTGTATTTTTAGCAGAGATGGGTTTCTCCATGTTGGTCAGGCTGGTCTCGAACTCCCAACCTCAGGTGATCTGCCCGCCTTGGTCTCCCAAAGAATTGGGATTACAGGAGTGATCCACCACATCTGGCCAAGGCACCCTCTTAAAAGCAGAGAGCAGAAATTTGCAATGTGAAGGAACTGTTCTGAACATTCTTCCTTGTGCATTTGGTGGGCTCAGCGTTTTTGTTTCCTATGATATCTGGTTAGTTCTGTCTTTCCAAAATTAGGGAATAATAAAATCTGCTGATGTTCAGTGTGGTATTTCTCAGGTTTACTTGACTATGTGGAAACACTTTCATACACCTTTTTACTGAAACCTGCAACACCCCAGTCACTCTGGAAGTCATCAATGGGGAAGAAATGAATGGAACCTTGGCGTTTTCCTTCCTCACAAAGAAAATTACGGATTTTGAGGAGACATGGAGGTAAGAGGGATTAATACTTGAAGAGTTAGTTATTTTGTAGAATTTTCTTCAATTTTAGTTTGTCTGATTTTATCTATGTTTTTTATTTATAATTATTATTTTTTGAGGCAGAGTCTTGGTCTGTCACCCAAGTTGGAGTGCAGTGGTGTGATCTCCATCTCCTGGGTTCAAGCGATTCTCCTGGCTCAGCCTCCCAAGTAGCTGGGATTACAGGTGTGTGCCACCACACCTGGCTAATTTTTGCATTTTCAGCAGACACAGGGTTTTAACCATGTTGGCCAGGCTGGTCTTGAGCTCCTGACCTCAGGTGATCCACCCACCTCGGCCTCCCAAAGTGCTTGGATTATAGACATAAGCCACTGTGTTCAGCCTTCTTTGTTATTTTATTTTATTTTTTTTGAGACAGGGTCTCACTCTGTCATCCAGGCTGGGGTGCAGTGTTGTGATCACAGCTCACTGCAGCCACAACCTCCCAGGCTGATCTTCCCATTTCAGCCTCTTGAGTAGCTCGGGCTATACAGGTGCATGCCACCACATTAGGCTAATTTTTAAAATTTTTTATATAGATGGGGTGTCGCTATGTTGTCCAGGCTAGTCTCAAACTCCTGGGGTCAAGCAATCCTTCTGCCTCAGCCTCCCAAAGTGCTGTGATTGCAAGCATGAGCCACCATGCCCAGGCTTGTTGGTTTTGTTTTTTGTCTTGCTCTGTAACCCACGCTGGAGTGACATGAACATGGCTTACGGCAGCCTTGATCTCTTGGGCTTGAGTGATCCTCTTGCTTCAGCCTCCCAAGTAGCTGAGACTGCAGGTGTCAGAAGCATGTGAACCAGAACAACTCCATCTTGAATGGGAGCTGGGTAAAATGAGGCTGAAACCTATGAGCTGCATTCCTATACAGTAAGAAATTCTAAGTCACAGGATGAGGTAGGAGGTTGGCACAAAATCTAGGTCATAAAGACCTTGTGTGATATTGTGCTGTAGCTGGCCTAGAGCCAGAACCTGAGCAACGCTATTTTATAAGATAAAGCTGTGTTTGGCTTCTGTAAATAAAGCTGCTAGCTTGCTCTGAAAAATGCCCACTATGTAAAGCTGCTTACCTTTTCTTATCAGTACCAGAATAAGCAGCCCAAGCTAATGCCATCTTGGCCCCTGTGACTTGTAATAAGTAACTAAGGTCTGTAATTTTCACCTTACCCAGATAACGTGTAAACTAACGTTTATCTTGACTTCTGTAAACCACTTAAGTAACAATCGGAGTGACAAAAGTCCCCTGGCCCTTGGAATGTCCAGAGCCCCCCTCACGCTCGTCTCTGCCCAGGGGGTGATTTGCAGAATCCACTAGCCCTCAGAATGTCTGAAGCCCTTCATCCCCATCCCCGCTCCTCACCCTCTGGGTCCTAAAACCAGGATGTGGTTTTTCAGCTTAAAAACCCTGCTCTCCCTGAGTTCAACGCCACAGGTTGGAGAGACGTGAGTCCTCTGTGGTCATTGGCATAATAAAGACCCTGCAATTTGGCATACTTTTGTCTTGGTGTTAATTTTCTATGCTCGGTCTAGTATAACACTTGCTGATAAAACAGGTTGCAGTAAAGGAGCTGGCCAAAACCCACCAAAATCAAAACGGCATGAATTTTCACTACTATACTCCCACCAGTGCCACGACAGTTTACAAATTCCATGGCAATGTCAGGAAGTTACCCCATAAGGTCTAAAAAGGGGAGGCATGAATAATCTACCCCTTGTTCAGCATATCAAGAAATAACCATAAAGATGGGCAACCAGGAGCCCTCGGGTCTGCGCTGTCTATGGAGTAGCCATTCTTTTATTCTTTTACTTTCTTAATAAACTTGTGGGCTGGGAGCAGTGGCTTACACCTATAATCCCAGCACTTTGGGAGGCTGAGGCTGGTGGATCAGAAGGTCAGGAGTTCAAGACCAGCCTGGCCAAGATGGTGAAACCCCATCTCTACTAAAAATACAAAAATTAGCCAGGTGTTGTGGCAAGCACTTGTAATCCTAGCTATTCAGAAGGTTGAGGCAGAGAATTGCTTGAACTCGGGAGGTGGAGGTTGCAGTGAGCTGAGATCACGCCACTGTACTCCAGTCTGGGTGACAGAGTGAGACTCTGTCTCAAAAATAAAAACCAAAAATCCCCAAAAACTTGCTTTCACTTTGCACTGTGGATGCACCCTGAATTCTTTGTTGCACAAGATCCGAGAACTGTCTCTCAGGATCTGGATCCAGACTCCTTTCCTGTACACAGGCACTTGTCATCACGCCTGGCTAATTTTTGATTTTTTGTAGAGATGGGGTTTCACTCTGTTGCCCAGGCTGGTTTCAAACTCCTTGGCTTAAGGAATCCTCCCAACTCAGCCTCCCAAAGTGCTGGGATTGCTGGCATGAGCCACTGTGCCCAGCCTTGTTTGATATTTATGACTAGACTGAGGTAATGCATTTTTTAGAATGTTGTGGCAATATCACAGAAGTGATGTGCCTTTCTCAATGGATCCTAACAGTAGATACACAATGTCACTATGTTTTAGTTAACTAAAACTTAACTTTGATCACTTGTTTAAAGTGGTGCCTGCCAGGATTCTCCACAGTAAACTATTTTTTCCTTTGTAATTACTAAACATTTTATTTTATTATTTTTTCCTTTTTCCTCGAAATTGGATGTCATAAACATTTCATTTTTATTGATTTATTTTTTTGAGAGGGAGTCTTGCTCTGTAGCCACAGCTGGAGTGCAGTGGCACGATCTTGGCTCACTGCAAACCCTGCCTCCCCGGTTCAGGTGATTCTCCTGCCTCAGCCTCCCAAGTAGCTGGGACTACAGGTATGCACCATCACGCCTGGTTAATTTTTTTTTTTTTTTTTTTTGATACGGAGTTGCCCTGTCACCCAGGCTGGAGTGCAATGGCGTAATCTCGGCTCACTGCAACCTCCGCCTGCTGGGTTCAAGCGATCCTCCTGCCTTAGCCTCCCCAGTAGCTGGGATTACAGGTGCGCGCCACCAGGTCCGGCTAATTTTTTGTGTCTTTAGGAGACACAGGATTTCACCATGTTAGCCAGGCTGGTTTGGAACTCCTGACCTCGTGATCTGCCTGCCTCGACTTCCTAAAGTGCTGGGATTACAGGCGTGAGGCACCGCCCCGGCCTCATGCCCGGCTAATTTTTGTATTTGTAGTAGAGACGGGGTTTCACCATGTTGGCCAGGCTGGCTCGAACTCCTGATCTCAAGTGATCTGCCCGCCCTCGCCTCTCAAAGTGCTGGGATTCCAGGCGTGAACCACCGCGCCCGGCCTAATTACTAACCATTTTAGTAGAGATGTTTTGAAACTCTGCATATGTCCTGTTTTGGCTTCAAATGCTGCCTCCTAATTTTAGCATCCATCGGTGGATGTGCAGAAGGCCGATTTTCTCAGTCTGAGCAAAATTTCTCTGTCTCAAGGAGCAAAACAAACAGAATTATTGGACAGGAAGAATGGTAGGAGAGAGCAGAGACCTAGGCAAGGGTCGTTCCTGTAAAAATCAGTTAAGTGAAGCCTAATAATAATCAGTACACTCGCACTACAAATAGAAGGATGGCTCAGGCAGCTCTGAGAGGTTTGCAATTAGGCGCGGGACCGGCTTCCTGGTTGCCCTGGAGACGGGGTCCTTTCTCGTTGGGCGTCGCCATTTGTGTCACCAGTCCTTGCCCAATGAGCGGCTGCTTAGTGGCGGGAGGGCGGGGTAGCCTGGCGGCGCTCTGCTCGCCCTGGCGCTCTGCTCTTTCCGGTCATGGAGGCGCTCGCCGCCCGCTTGTTTTTGCTCCTGTGGCTTGGGGCCTGTGCGCCCGCGCCGGGCAGCGCCTCCTCCGAGGCACCCTCGCTGATCAACGAGGAGGTGAAGCGCACAGTGGACCTAAGCAGCCACCTGGCAAAGGTGACGGCCGAGGTGGTCCTGGCGCACCTGGGCAGCGGCTCCACGTCCCGAGCTACCTCTTTCCTTCTGGCTTTGGAGCCCGATCTCGAGGCTCGGCTGGCGCATCTGGGCGTGCAGGTGAGTGCGGGCGACCTTCAACGCCGCTCCCGGAGCTCTTCCCGCCAGTCCCGTGACTTGGCCCGCGCCCCTCTACGCTTCAGGAAATGCCGAGACCAGGGCGTCGGGTGGGGCGCCCGGGGTCCGTGGGATTGGCTCGGGGCCCGGGAGGAGCCGGGGTGGCCAGGGGCCCCAGCGCTTCAGCGGCCAGTGCGTGCCTGCCCTCCCGCCTAGGCCACGTCAGCGCTGGCTTGCCCCAGTCGGGCCACTGCTCACAAGGGCAGCCAGTTGGATCTGCGGCCGACTCGCCTCGGAGCTTGCCCGCACATGGGCTGTTCTCTGCATCGCTCGGGCGCCCTCCAGCCTATGGAAAGGATCTCCCTTCCGTAAGGGGAGCGCGGCGGCCATCGGCCCGGTGCTATCGGGCGCCAGACTTCATTTCTCACGGCCCGACGCAGTGGCCCAAGTGGAGGACAAATAAATGAGTTAAAATGAATTTCATTCTCTTAATTCACTATCTGGTCCGTTGTAGGCGCTTCTTTCTAGACATAGAGAATCACCAGAAATGTTAACAGGTTTCGCATTTTTAAGTTGGTAATCACTTGAAATCACTATGAATGTGATGCATTTCTTTTTTTTTAACATATATTTTATTGCATTTTAGGTTTTGGGGTACACGTGAAGAACATGTAAGATCGTTGCATAGGTACATACATGGCAAGGTTGTTTGCAGCCTTTCTCCCCATCACCTGTATCTGGCATTTCTCCCCATGTTATCCCTCCCCAACTCCCCACGTGATGCATTTCTTAAGGTTGCTAATGAATGCTTTCTAAATGTTAAAATTCTTTTTTTTTTGAGACGGAGTTTTGCTCTTGTTACCCAGGCTGGAGTGCAATGGCGCGATCTCGGCTCACCGCAACCTCCGTCTCCTGGGTTCAGGCAATTCTCCTGCCTCAGCCTCCTGAGTAGCTGGGATTACAGGCACGTGCCACCATGCCCAGCTAATTTTTTGTATTTTTAGTACAGACGGGGTTTCACCATGTTGACCAGGATGGTCTCGATTTCTTGACCTCGTGATCCACCCGCCTCGGCCTCCCAAAGTGCTGGGATTACAGGCGTGAGCCACCGCGCCCGGCAAAACTCTTTTTAAAGTTAGTTTTAGAACTCCTGCATGTAATGTAAGTTATCTTATGCTGTACATAAAAGGAAAGTCCAATTCACTCCCTTCCCCCTACTGCCTCTCATTCTTAAACTTCGGCAAGAAATGGCTGTGTTTGCCTTAAATGCTTCCAGGTATTTTAGTGATCACTAAAGAAACTGTTGGATTTGGGGGTAGAGGGAATACACACATACAGAGATTTTCTTTTTTCTTTTTTTATTTTAATAAGACGGGGTTTCTTCATGTTGGTCAGGCTGGTCTTGAACTCCCGACCTCAGGTGATCCGCCTGCCTTGGCCTCCAAAGTGCTTGGATTACAGGCGTGAGCCACCACGTCTGGCCGAGATTTGCTTTTTATTACTATTGTTATTAAACAATTTTGTTAAATGATTACTTAATTATTTGTTGAGAGAATAGTCATTATAGTGTCACATTTCTTCTAAGCACACTTCATTCTTTGACTGAATATAGAGCTATAAAACTGGATTTATAGAGATTACTTTTCTGAAATGACTCCTCTTTTCATGCCTGTCCATGATGAAATAAAGTTTTACTGAAAGGCTTATGGAAAGATAGATCAAAACTTCATGTAAATTTGCCCTGCCACCTTTGAATATCTTAAATATTAAATCCCATTCTTTATTGAAGCCAGTTGTGATTTAATGAGCTTGTTACAGTATAACTGGACCACAGCAGGAACTCAGCTGTTCTGCCCTCATGCTCGTGAGCTAGGTTAATGTACTTATTTTATCTTTTTTTTTTTTTTTTTTTTTTTTTTGAGACAGCGCCTTGCTCCATCACCCAGGCTGGAGGGCAGTGGTGGGATCTCAGCTCACTGCAACCTCCGCCTCCCTGGTTCAAGCAGTTCTCTGCCTCAGCCTTCTGAGTAGCTGGGACTCACGCCCAGCTAATTTTTGTATTTTTAGTAGAGACGGGGGTTTCACTGTATTGGCCAGGCTGGTCTTGAACTCCTGATCTCATGATCCGCCCACTGCGGCCCTCCGAAGTGCTGGGATAACAGGTGTGAGCCACCATGCTGGGCCCTATCTTGTTTTTATTTTAATTTTTCTCCCAACTGTATTGAGGTGTCTACCAAAAAAAAAAATTGAAACTTTTCTATTACATCATTAAATACATTTCTATGAGTATGCTTATTTGAATGTAAATGAGGAAAAGCATCAAGAAAGAGATCTTTGAGAAGTATATTTGGAAGTGTAATCTTTATGTGTATGTGTGTATTTGATCATTCAGGAAAGTGTTATGCATTTATAGAGGTTTAATGCCACTTTGTAAAAGTAAGTCTTTGACAATATTCCTGTGTTTCAGATGAAAAAAATTGTTAACTGAGAAATGAAAATTCAATCTTTACAAAGTTCTGATAGTTTGAGTACTTTAATGTGGATGTTCTAAAGCAGTTGGTTAATTGTTGACTCAAAATTTAGGTGCCAAAAGACAAGAAGAATAAACTGGCTTTTTCTGTTGTAGGTGAAGGGAGAAGATGAGGAAGAGAACAATTTGGAAGTACGTGAAACCAAAATTAAGGGTAAAAGGTAAGCCAACAAAGAATATATCTTGTCTCTTCTTGTTAAAGGTTATCATGTCAGGATTGGGATCATGTGGGATCATAAACTAGGAGAGTTGCTTAGGAAGTGCCTGCTGTATTGGAGGGTTTTGTTTGTTTTGTAGAGAGGAGGTGTAGCCATGTTGCCCAGGCTGGTCTTGAATTCCTGAGCTCAAGCGATCCTCCTGCCTCGGCCTCTCAAAGTGCTGGGACTACAGTTGTGAACCACTGTACCTGTCCTAGAGGATTTTTTTTTTTTCTTTCTTGAGACAGGGTCTGGCTCTGTTGCCCAGACTGCAGTACTATGGCACCGTGTTGACTCACTGCAACCTCTGCTTCCAGACTCAAATCTTCCTTCCACCTCAGCCTCCACAGTAGCTAGGACTAGAGGTGTGTGCCACCATGCCTGGCTAGTGTGAGTGTGTGTGTGTATATTTAGTAGAGACAGGGTTTTACCATGTTGCCCAGGCTGGTCTTGAACTCCTGGCCTCAAGCAGTTATTTGCCTCCCAAAGTGCTGGGATTATAGGCGTGAGCCCATCACGCCCTACCAAGGATGTTGTAATTAATGTATGTGATTATAAGCAACATGCTGTAATATATTCTGGACTCATTTATGTCTTGTCTTTACTAATGCTGAAATTGGATTCTGCTAAGCAGTGGCAGTTTGTTTCATAGGAAGAAAGTAGTTACTTTCCATGTCAGATCAGTTCTCCCTCCTGGTTCCACAGAGCATGTGAGAACTCTAAGCTGTTTGCTGTAGCAAGTATCTTCCTATCTATGGTTGGTTGCTGTTCTGTTTGCAAGGGGTAGACAACCTTCTCACTGCATCTCTCACCCCTAAGCCTTCAGGGCAAAGTGGTAACTTATTTGAAGGTCTTCTGTGAAGTCTGTGAAGGCTGAGTGAGTTTAAATTCGCATAGTTGTCTTCCCTGACCTCAGCACCTATCAAGGAGCCTGGAGCTTCTTCTTTTATTTTATTTTATTTCATTATTATTATTTTTTAAAAGATGGGGTTTCACCTTGATGGCCAGGCTGGTCTTGAACTCCTGACCTCAGGTGATCCGCCCACCTTGGCCTCCCAAAGTGCTAGGATTACAGGTGTGAGCCACCGCACCTGGCCCAGAACTTCTTATTTATTTTTTTTGGAGACAGAGTCTCACTCTGTTGCTCAGGCTGGAATGCAGTGGCCCTGTCTCAGCTCACTGCAACATCTGCCTTCCAGGTTCAAGCGATTCTCCTGCCTCAGCCTCCTGAGTAACTGGGATTATAGACATCTGCCACCACGCCTGGCTAATTTTTGTATTTTTATTAGAGACGGGGTTTCACCATGTTGGCCAGGCTGGTCTTGAACTCCTGACCTCAGGTGATCCGCCTACCTCAGCCTTGCACAGTGCCAGGATTACAGGCCTAAACCACTGTGCCCAGCCCTTTTTTCTTACGTATGAGTACATCATAACATTTCCTTTTTTTTTTTTTGGGAGATGAAGTCTCGGTCTGTCCCCCAGGATGGAGGACCAGATGCAATCTTGACTGACTGCAACCTCTGCCTCCCAGGCTTAAGTGATTCTCCTGCTTCAGCTTCCAGAGTAGCTAGGATTACAGGCATCCACTACCATGCCTGGCAAATTTTTATGTATTTTTAGTAGAGACAGGGTTTCACCATGTTGGCCAGGCTGGTTTCGAACTCCTGACCTCAGGTGATCTGCCCATCTTGGCCTCCCAGGGTTCTAGGATTACAGGCGTGAGCCACTGTGCTTGGCCACCTTTTTTGTTTTCCGTGTAATCTTCATAGTCATCTTTCTTTTGTTGTTACTTTTAATCCTCCTTGAATTAGCGTTCATGTACAACATCCTCTTAGGAGCCACATTTTAGTGCATGGTGATTATCTTGCTTTTTCCGTTACAGCCTCTGAGTGTATGAAATAGGCATCTCACCAGCCCTGAGGCTGTCAGATCTGAGAGTTAGCTTTAAACAAGTCGCTATTAAAACTGCTTTCTCTTGTAAACATTTAAGAGACTGCTCTCCTTCACTGAGACTGTCTGAGTACTCTGTCTGTGTTTATTGGCTCCAGCTGCTATTTATTGTCCTGTAGCGTATCTCTTGAAGAGGCAAGGTAACATAGTTGTTAGGAGTGTGGTTTTTACATCTTTACTGCCTGGGATCAAATCCTAGCTCGGTTATGTTTACTAGCATTTTCCTCATAGTAAAAGAATAGTGTTTACTTTATATGATCATGGTTAAGATTCACTAAATTCATACATATACTTGGAACCTTAGTAAGTAATAAATTTTGAATTAATCACAAAGAAGGCTAACTAATAGAATGAAAGGAACGTTTCAGGCAGAGACATCTGTAAAGATACAGAGGTTTGACATTTCATGGTGCATTTTGTTAACTGGGCTTTCAGAGTGGCTCTTGCTCAGAAGAAGGTGAAGCTGTGTAGGGTGGGTTGAGTACCATTATTAGAGGTGTGGACTTTAAGCAGTTGGGAACATTAAAAAATATTTTTTCACAGCATACCATTTCATTCATTTCTATTTATACGAATTTGTCTTTATCACCTCTTCCTGCCACAGAAACTGACATATACGGTGTTCTCAGTAAATCTGTTTGAGTACATGAGTAATTGCTTTAGAAAAACCAAGTCATAGGCCGGGCGCAGTGGCTCAAGCCTGTAATCCCAGCACTTTGGGAGGCCGAGGTGGGTGGATCACGAGGTCAAGAGATTGAGACCATCCTGGTCAACATGGTGAAACCCCGTCTCTACTAAAAATACAAAAAATTAGCTGGGCACGGTGGTGCGTGCCTGTAATCCCAGCTACTCAGGAGGCTGAGGCAGGAGAATTGCTGAACCCAGGAGGCGGAGGTTGCGGTGAGCCAAGATCGTGCCATTGCACTCCAGCCTGGGTAACATGAGTGAAACTCTGCCTCAAAAAAAAAAAAAAAAGAAAAACCAAGTCATTCACACAGTGTTCTCCCGTTAGATCCAGCTGGAGAAGAGCTACAGGAAAAAAAAGGCCTGCTCCATGTACATCAGTTTGGTCAGTTCTGTGTTGTCTAACTAGCATTTTATTGATTGAAAACCTTCATTAGCTGGTGCTTCCACATTTTGATAAGAACTGATGTTCCTAATGATGATCCTGGAGCACTGAAAGGTTCTGATTTGTCTTCTGAATCATCAAAGCAAAATTATGTGGCATTATTTAACAGCTTGTAAAATGAATGTGGGAGTGTTGACTTGAGATTGTGTAGATTGAGTGGGGAGGAAGATTAGGACATTAATCAAGGCACATGGTATTGGTTTGAATGGAGGGGGAGGCAAAGGAAGGGATGAGTCTGAGGCATTTCTAAGGCAGGATTGCCCAGATATTGGGGATGGGGTAGAGTGAGGCATCAGAAAATGCCTGAGTTTCCAGCTTAGAGTTGATTAGATGGCAGTGGTATTAAGAGAGATCGGGAATTGGGATCATGAATGATATGGTTATGTTGAATTGTCTGTGGGGTGGTCAGTGGAGCTGTCTGGTAAACATTTGAAAGTTTGATTTTAGAATTCAGGACAGAGAATGAGATGAGAAGCACATTTGAAACTTGAAACTAAGAACTGGATAAGACTGTGCTGGGAGAAGATACTGCTGCTTATGTTTTGAGTAGTGAACTTCACAGTAGTAATATGAAATATAATGGTGTGACTGATAAAGACATGCAAGTTCAGTGTTCTATAGTGTCATATCAAGAAAAATGACCCATGTTCTAACCTTTGAGGACAAACTCATTGGAGCATATTAATTCAGTTTTTCCACTAATGGTTTCTACATCTTCTAAAAGTTGGTCTTGGCCGGGTGCAGTGGCTTATGCCTATAATCCTAGTACTTTGGAAGGCCGAGGTGGTGGATTGCCTGAGCTCAGGAGTTCAAGACCAGCCTGGGCAACCCCGTCTCTACTAAAATGCAAAAAATTATCTGGGCGTGGCGGCATGCGCCTGTGTCCCCAGCTACTCAGGAGGCTGAGGCAGGAGAATTGCAAGAACCCGGGAGGCAGAGGAGGTTGCATGGAGCTGAGATCACAACACTGCACTCTAGCCAGGGTGACAGAGAAAACTGATTCAATTTAGAATTAGCACCCTGTGCATTTTCAGTTTCCAGGCCATCTGTTTTTCTTTCAAGTATGGGTAGCTTTATTTTTTTCTCCATATGAGGATGATACAAGCTCATTATGAGACTTAAATCGGGGCATGGTGGCTCATGCCTGTAATCCCAGCACTTTGGGAGCCTGAGGTGGGTGGATCACGAGGTCAAGAGATCGAGACCATCCTGGCCAACATGGTGAAACTCCATCTCTACTAAAAATACAAAACATTAGCTGGGCATGGTGGCACGTGCCTGTAGTCCCAGCTACTCAGGAGGCTGAGGCAGGAGAATTGCCTGAACCCGGGAGGCGGAGGTTGCGGTGAGCCGAGATCGCGCCATTGCACTCCAGCCTGGGTAACAAGAGTAAAACTCCGTCTAAAAAAAAAAAAAAAAAAAAAAGTAAAACAAATTGGAAAAGACAAACTGAAGGTTATTATCCTGCCTTGAGAGAGTTACCATTAACATTTTGTTGAACATTCCTTGAAATACTATTTTTTTTTTTTTTTGAGATAGGGTTTCACTCTTGTTGCACAGGCTGGAATGCAATGGCATGATCTCAGCTTACCACAGCCTTCGCCTCCCAGGTTCAAGCGATTCTCCTGCCTCTGCCACCCTAGTAGCTGAGATTACAGTCATGCACCACCACGCCTAGCTAATTTTTGTACTTTTAATAGAGACGGGGTTTTGCCATGTTGGCCAGGATGGGCTTAAACTCCTGGCCTCAGGTATCTGCTCACCTCGACCTCTCAAAGTGCTGGGATTACAGGCGTGAGCAAGCCACTGCGCCCAGCCAAGAGATCACCTTTAATATAATAATTTAAGTCCTTTATTAGGCAGGTGCAGTGGCGAGCGCCTGTAGTCCTAGTTACTCGAGAGGCTGAGGTAAGAGAATCACTTGAACCCCGGAGGCGGAGGTTGCAGTGAGCTGAGAACGCGCCATTGCACTCCAGCCTGGGCAACAGAGCAAGACTCCATCTCAAAGAAAGAAAATAATAATAATTTAAGACTTTTAAGACAAATGTCTAGATGTTTCTCTCAGAGTTGTTTATAATAGCAAGAGTATAAAACAACCTAAATGTTCAACAATGGGACAAAAGTTAAAAATATTCTAATAGATAATCCCAGCTACTTGGGAGGCTGAGGCAGGAGAATTGCTTCAACCTGGGAGGTGGAGGTTGTAGTGAGCTAAGATCTCACCATCACACTCCAGCCTGGGTGATAGAGTGACACTGTCGGGGGAAAAAAAAAGGTGATTTCTTAACGATAATTGCTTTTGTCTTGAGTTCAAAATTTTGTGTGACTTTGAACTGCTGGTTCTGTTTTCAGTATCCTCAGTCTCTCTTAATTCTCTTGCCTTGTTCTTCAGTGGGAAATTCTTCACAGTCAAGCTCCCAGTTGCCCTTGATCCTGGGGCCAAGATTTCAGTCATTGTGGAGACAGTCTACACCCATGTGCTTCAGCCGTATCCAACCCAGATCACCCAGTCAGAGAAACAGTTTGTGGTGTTTGAGGGGAACCATTATTTCTACTCTCCCTATCCAACGAAGACACAAACCATGCGTGTGAAGCTTGCCTCCCGAAATGTGGAGAGCTACACCAAGCTGGGGAACCCCACGCGCTCTGAGGACCTGCTGGATTATGGGCCTTTCAAAGATGTCCCTGCCTATAGTCAGGTAGGCTCAGGTGGAGTCCAGCCCATCCCTATCTGCTTCAGAGAATATCTTGCAGAGTGACGGGTTGATAGGCTTGGCTGGTATGGGGTGTTTGAAATCTGAAGTCATTTATAAGGTCATCCCAAAAGTGTTTAACCTGCAGTGAATTGACTCCATGGGAGTCTCGTTTCTCCTTTGGGGATCACAGGTAGAGGCTGGGGGTAGCGTTTCAAGAGGTAGAATGGGAGTTGGGGGAGTTGGAAGCAAGGCATTCCAGGCAGAGGCCGTAAGAAGGACAAAGGCCTTGAGATGGTGTGGCTGGGCAGATACTGGGGTAGCAAAGCTGTCGGAGTGGCTGAGGGCCTTCTTTAAATGTTGGGCCTTAGGTTGGAACTTGAAGGGAGAGGGAGCAATTAAAGCTTACAAAGATTTTGTTACTATGGCAAATTTTAAACATGCCAGAGTACAGAGAGTAGTGTAAACTCCCACACACATCACTTAGATTCAGTGGTTATCAGGTTACCATAATTCAGCCACCCCTCTCTTTTTCTTTGGTGGAGTATTAAAAAATTTTTTTTTAAAATTTGGATCTTGCTGTGTTGCCCAGCCCAGAGTGCAGTGGCACAATCGTAGCTCACTGTAACCTAAAACTCCTGGGCTCAGTTTATCCTCCCAGCTCAGCCTCCCATGTAGCTGAAACAACAGATGTGCGTCACCATACCCAGTTAATTTTTTTTTTTTTTGAGACGGAGTCTCACTCTGTTGCCCAGGCTGCAGTGCAGTGGCACTATCTCGGCTCACTGCCAACTCTGCCTCCTGGGTTCAAGCAATTCTGCTGCCTTAGCCTTCCGAGTAGCTGGGACTATAGGCACCCACCACTACTCCCGGCTAATTTTTTTGTATTTTTAGTAGAGATGGGATTTCACTGTGTTAGCCAGGCTGGTCTTGATCTCCCGGCTCCTGCAAGTTGCACCACTGTACTCCAGCCTGGGTGACATAGCAAGATTCCGTCTCAAAAAGAAAAAAAAAAAAAAAGGAAGTGAAGTCAACTTAGCAGATCTCATATTGCCACTTAGGTTTATGACCTTGAACAGGCAATGGTAACCGCCATTAAACTTGAGATTTTTATTTGTCAAATGGGGATAAGAGTTCTTCAACATATTGTTTGAAGAATGAAATGAGATAATGCACTTATTTAGAACTCATAAAAGAGTGCCTACCACATACACGTCAGCTCCAAACACATTATTTATTTTTTGTGTCCTATTTTTCCAGTTAATAATATCATGGACATTTATTCCCATATGTTTGAAGAAGCCTTAGTAAACATCATCTTAAAATGTTGCATACATTAGATACATCATAATTTACCCATTCTGTTGCTGATATTTAGGTTGTTTCCAGTCAATTTGATTTAAACTGATGGTGATTTCTCTGTTGCCCAAACTTTGAACTACTTTTTTCCTTCCTTCCAGGATACTTTTAAAGTACATTATGAGAACAACAGTCCTTTCCTGACCATCACCAGCATGACTCGAGTCATCGAAGTCTCTCACTGGGGTAATATTGCTGTGGAAGAAAATGTGGACTTGAAGCACACAGGGGCTGTGCTTAAGGGGCCTTTCTCACGCTATGATTACCAGAGACAGCCAGATAGTGGAATATCCTCCATCCGTTCTTTTAAGGTATAGAATGTTTAACTTCGACATTGTGAGAAGCTAGGACTTTTTAGCATACCTACCTATTCTTTGCTTTTTGAAAGTAGCTAAATATATAGATAGCTTAGGATTGACTGATGTTCATGTTGAGTGGCAGTGTTAGAAATTAACAGAACCTTAAACAAATCACCCATATATATAAATAAGCTATTTTCTTTTTTTCTTTGAGACAGAGTCTAATTGTTACCCAGTCTGGAATATAATGGCATGGTCTCTGCTCACTGCAACCTCCGCCTCCTCGGTTCAAGTGATTTTCCTGCCTCAGACTCCTGAGTAGCTGGGATTACACTCATGCACCACTGCATCTGGCAATTTTTGCATTTTTAGTAGAGATGAGGTTTCACCATGTTGGCCAGGCTGGTCTCGAACTCCTGGCCTCAAGTGATCCGCCTGCCTTTGCCTCCCATAGTGCTGGGATTACAGGCATGAGCCACCGTGCCTGGCCTAAACCATGTATTTTTAATTTTTTTTTTTTTTTTTTTTTTTTGAGACGGAGTTTCGCTCTTGTTACCCAGGCTGGAGTGCAATGGCGCGATCTCGGCTCACCGCAACCTCCGTCTCCTGGGTTCAGGCAATTCTCCTGCCTCAGCCTCCTGAGTAGCTGGGATTACAGGCATGCACCACCATGCCCAGCTAATTTTTTGTATTTTTAGTAGAGACGGGGTTTCACCATGTTGACCAGGATGGTCTCGATCTCTTGACCTCGTGATCCACCCGCCTCGGCCTCCCAAAGTGCTGGGATTACAGGCTTGAGCCACCGCGCCCGGCCTAATTTTTAATTTTTTAATATTTTTATTTAAACCATATTTTTAAAATGAAAATTTGAATAGAAAAAGGAAAAGCATACTCACACTCACAGTACCATCACCCAAACACAACTAACATTTTGATCTATTTCTTTGTTCTTTTGTAGTATTTTTAAAAAACGTTTTATCGTATTGCATATACAGTTTTAAAATCTTTTTTGTTTTATAAATGAAATCTTGTAAACTTTTTTTGTACTTATGTATGATAGAAGGGTTCACTATGTGAACCAAGTATTATCCGGTCCCCCCATGATCAGAATACACTGACAGATTTGGAAGATACAATAAAGAATATCAGGTAGACAAACCCTTTCCGTAACCCTACCACCTAGTAATTCGATGAAATTTCTTCCATCTTCCATCTTTAGTTTTTTTCTCTGCAAAATAACTTCCAAGATTATGTTTACCTTTGTATCATGTCTTCAGTGTTCACAAAGTTATTTGCAATTCCCTAAATTATTTACTGTTTAGAAGAATTTGGGTGCTTAGCACCCTTGATTGAGAAGTTGACACAATTTCTAGAAATTTTGAAATCTTTATGTGAAAGTTAGGCTTATTTAGGTTGTTTATGTTTGGGGACTACTTTAATTAAGTACTACATATGAAGATCTTGTGGCAGAAAGTCTTCTGTGTTTAGGATCATTTCCTCTGAGCAGGTTCCTGAAGTTTTAGAAGGGCATATCTACTCTGTTGCAGACCATCCTTCCTGCTGCTGCCCAGGATGTTTATTACCGGGATGAGATTGGCAATGTTTCTACCAGTCACCTCCTTATTTTGGATGACTCTGTAGAGATGGAAATCCGGCCTCGCTTCCCTCTCTTTGGCGGGTGGAAGACCCATTACATCGTTGGCTACAACCTCCCAAGCTATGAGTACCTCTATAATTTGGGTCAGTCTTCAATAGTAAGAGAAAAACTAACCTTTAATTTTGTGCATTTTTTTTTTCCTTTCAATTAGCAGTCTTTCTAGATGGAGGGTGTTCATTTGTCATTCTTAGGAAGGCTAGGGTATCAGGAACAACTTTGTATGAGTGGATACAAATTACTATTGTAAAAGGACATGGATTTGATAGTCAATTCAAACACTACGTAAAAGTCCTCTTCTTACTTGCAGTTCTGTCATTAGATGGAACTGCTTAAATTCCTTTAAATAGTTTTTGGGTTATTTGAAAAATAAAAATTCAGAGAATACTAACAGTTTTATATGAGCATCCAGAACTAATGATTGTAAACATTTTGTCATATTTTCTTCAAGCCTTTCTTTTTTTTTTTCTTTTTGAGACAGTGTTTCACTCTTATTGTCCGGGCTGGAGTGCAATGGCATGATCTTGGCTCACTGCGACCTTTGCCTCCTGGAGTCAAGCGATCCCCCTTCCTCTACCTCCCAAGTAGCTGGGACTACAGGCGTGTGCCACCATACCCAGCTAATTTTTGTATTTTTTTTTTGTAGAGATGGGGTTTTGTCCTGTTTTTTTGTAGAGATGGGGTTTTGTCCTGTTGCCCAGGATGGTCTTGCACTTTTGTGCTCAAGTGTTTCCCTACCGTTGGCCTCCCAAATTGCTGGGATTATAGGCGTGAGCCATCGTACCCAGCCTTGCCCCCATTTTTTTGTTACGTGTTTTATTGTCGGAACAAATAGCCATTACGTAGTGTACTTTTTCCCCTTTAAGTTTAGTTGTAGTTCCCCAGCTCAGTGGCTATTGAATGTTCACCCTCATTGATTGATAGCTAGTCCTTCCGGTTACCTGAAGGTAATTTTCATTTAGATTCTGCAGGAAGGGCTTATAGAATGAGTTCTTTTTTTTTTTCATTTTTTTCTTTTTACTTTGAATGAGTCCTTTTTTTTTTTTTTTTTTTTGAGGTGGAGTTTCACTCTTGTTGCCCAGTGTCTGTCTGTCTTTCTTTCTTTTCTGTTTTCTTATATTTTCTTTCTTTCCTTTTCTCTTTTTTTCTCTTTTCTTTTCTTTCGATACCAAGTTTCTACAGAAAACAGAAGTTGCCCAGTATCTTAAATGTTACTTCATTTTTTTGTGGGGTTGCATAAAGTATTCCTTTTGAAGTCTGATCTTTCTCCCTATAGACTTACAAGCTTTAAAAAAGAAATCTAGATGTGGAAAAGGAAAGGATTGAAGTCTTTTGTTTGTTTGTTTGATTTTTGAGATGGATTTTCCTTCTTTTTGCCCAAGCTGGAGTACAATGGCGCGATCTCAGCTCATTGCAACTTCCGCCTCCTGAGTTCAAGCAATTCTCCTGCCTCAGCCTCCCAAATAGCTGGGATTTTAGGTACCTGCCACCATATCTGGCTAATTTTTGTATTTTCAGTAGAGACGGGGTGTCATCATGTTGGTCAGGCTGGTCTCAAACTCCTGACCTTAGGTGATCTGCCCGCCTTAGCCTCCCAAAATGCAGGGATTACAGGTGTAAGCCACTGTCTGTTGGTCATTTTTAATGTGGCCATTTGGAAGGAGGGATGCTTTAGGGTGGCCTTTGTACCTTCCCAGACCTCTTCTGTTTTAGTGTAGTATACTGCAAAAACACGTGGCTTGCTTGCTGAGCTTCCCCCGCTCAGTTTTTGAGCTCCATTGTCCCTATCATGCTGAATTTTCATTCATTCATTCATTCATTCATTCATTCATTTATTTATAGAGACGAGGTTTCACCATGTTGGTCTTGAACTCCAGACCTCAGGTGATCCACCCGCCTTGGCCTCCAAAGTGCTTGGGTTACAGGCATGAGCCACCACACCCAGCCCATGCTCAATTTTGATTCTATTGAGCAGTTTCTCCTCAGAGTAGGGCACTGTGTCAGAAGGGGAGTTCTGCTCTCAGGGACTAGACTCTGCAGACTTGTAGACCTTCTGCAGGCCTGTTTCACTTTCCTTTAGGCAGGGCACTGCCGCTCCGAGTTTCAGCCACTCCTCACATTGGCCTGCCATGCTGTCTAGGGAATCCCAGTTGTATGTTTTGGGGTTCTGCTGTTCTCAAGCCCGTTAGTTGCCCTGTTGCTTCTCTCTGCCTTCTTCTTCACAGACACTGATAAGTGAAGGTCTTATGGCTGTCCGTGTTTTGACCCCTGCCCCTGTCTTTGTATTGTGGCGTTCAGTAGAGATACTTGCTTGCTTGGTTTTGTTGTAAACATGGTCCGTGGGTTTTGGGTTTGCTGTCTAGTTGCTTTGTCTTTATGTGGGCCCCTGTACTTCTTTCTCTCCTGCCCATTTACTCTGTCTTCCACATCATTGTGCATGTTTGCTTGATCCTTCAGGTGACCAGTATGCACTGAAGATGAGGTTTGTGGACCATGTGTTTGATGAACAAGTGATAGATTCTCTGACTGTGAAGATCATCCTGCCTGAAGGGGCGAAGTGAGTGTGACTGTTCCTCTCCTCCGCACCCATTTTCTCTGGTTGTACCCTTGTGGTACTCTAAGGGGAGCCTATGTTCTAGGGGCACAGTCTTTGTGTCACTTTGTTCTAGATTTACTTTATCAGGGAATATCTGCTTAGCCTTTCTTGAGTCACATGTCCACCCTGACTGCCAGTATGAGAGATCCCTTGATTTTTATCCTGTGTAGTATGTTCCATGGGGAAAAGGTCGTTCCTCAAGCAAATCCAGGGTGTGCTGTTTACCAGCAGAAGGTCCTGGGCAGACAAAAGCAGGACATGTCCCCCATAAGAAGCTCTCTGATGTGAAGAGAAAGAATATTCACGACAGCTTGTGAGGCCTCTTGTTGAAGCCCTAAGGGACTCACTGGTTAGAATGTACAGGAGAGCTGTGCCAATTTTGTGACTCCAAGGAGTGGGGCCAGTACCTGTGAGAACTTGGGAGTGGAGGATTCAGTGGGACAGTTGTTGCCCAGCAGAAGAGGGCTTTAAAAGAAAGGGCTTTCTGGCAGCGGCTCCCCTGTCTAAGAGAGTTGGGTTCTCCATAGCTAGGGAGGGAGCTCAGTGGAGAGTATGAACTTGGTGACCTCAAAAGGCCCCATAGCCTTGGAATTCTTTGATTCTAAATGGGGTTCATTGGTGTAGTTGGTTGGAGGCTATATTTTATTCCCATCTGCTTCCAGGAACATTGAAATTGATAGTCCCTATGAAATCAGCCGTTCCCCAGATGAGCTGCACTACACCTATCTGGACACGTTTGGCCGCCCTGTGATTGTTGCCTACAAGAAAAATCTGGTAGAACAGCACATTCAGGATATTGTGGTGAGTGGCTCGGCTGTTTGCCTTGCGTGCTGCCTTTCCCAGTGGGCACTGGGGCCGAGGACTCACCCCCTGTCCCTCCTTGGGCTGGAGTTGTTTGAGCCCACAGCCTCTTCTGGGCTTGGGGTGGGGCAGCAGGTTGAGTGGGCCAGCTTGGGTGAGTCTAGGCTCCCGTGTCCCTGCAGCCACGATGAAGCCTGTCTCCTGCTTCTCCCAGGTCCACTACACGTTCAACAAGGTGCTTATGCTGCAGGAGCCCCTGCTGGTGGTGGCAGCCTTCTACATCCTGTTCTTCACCGTCATCATCTATGTCCGGCTGGACTTCTCCATCACCAAGGTACCCTCTCAGCCTTCTTCCTGCTTGTCATTTGTGTCCTCGTAATAGCACCAGCTTGAGCACTGATCCTTACAGTGAGCCCAGGGGAGGACACCATGGCCAGAAGACCCCTGCCTGTGTTCATCCTTGTTGGAAGGGTACTTTGTTTTTGTTTCTTGTGATGACCAGCACAGGAGGTTAAGTCCCTGCTTCTGTCTTATTTTGGCTCTGGAGACAAAGTAACTTGGATGCTCAGTTGAGGTAGAAAAAAACCTGAAAAGATTGGTGCTTGTTATTTAGCTGTTTTGCTTCTTTGTTATTCAGTGGAACTTGGAGTTGGAACTCCCTCTTAGTCCCCTTGCCAGTGTCCCCTCTCCCTTCCCTTGTGATTCGTGGCCCTATCAACACCCTTCTCCCCCCTGCACTCTCTGCTCCCTGACAGGACAGGCTTTGTGGCTCCTTGGTCCTCTCCAGGCTACACTGCCGTTATCCTCAGGTCATCCTCTTGGTCTTTTCTTCCTTCGTCCCTCTATTTCTCGTTCTCTCATTGTTACTGAGGACTCTTGGCACCATGCCTCAAGGTAGGCACTAGTAGCAGGCACTTATTGGAGCCTGGGGGGTGAGGCTTTGGGGAGGACGCGAGCGAAGCTGGTGCTTGACTGTGGGAACGTGATGACAGGTACAGGGCGTGCTTTTTTTTTTTTTTGAGACAGTCTCACTCTGTTGCCAGGCTGGAAGCAGTGGTGCAATATCAGCTCACTGCAACCTCCGCCTCCCAGGTTCAAGCAATTCTCCTATCTCAGCCTCCCAAGTAGTTGGGACTACAGGTGCACACCAAGGGTGTGCTTTTAGTGGTGCGGTCTGGGAGGCCCCAAGGGCTACCCTGAGGAGGTGACAGGCAAAGAAGGTGGGGAAGGACAATCAGCTGGAGGGGCTGATGTTTGTGAGACAGCAGGGAGGGGTTTTGGTGACGCCTGTGGATAGTGGCAGGGCACGTGTGTAAGATGTTGATCCACCTTGTGTGGGTCCGCTTATACGCAGGTTTTTTTCAATTAAATGCAGATAGGAAATACAGTACTCAATACAGTGTTTGAGGGATCTGAAACCAAGTATGTGGAGGGTTGACTTTTTGTATACTTGGGTTCCATAGGTCTGACTACAGGACTTGAGTATGTGCAGATAGTCAGTGGCTTCGAAGTATAACTCTGTGTGTGTGTGTGTGTGTGTAAGTGTAATTATTTTTGCTGAATCATTTGAGGTTAAGTTGTAGACATTGTGCCTCTTTACCCTTAAATAGTTGAGCATGTGTGTAGCCTGAGAGCAAGGGTATTCTCTTACATAATCACAATACAGTGACCAAATTCAGGAAATGTAATGTTGCTAAAAATCTGGTAGAACAGCATGTTCAAAACTTTGTGTTGAGTGGCTCCACTGTTCTGCCTTCTGTGCCTTCCTCCTCAAAGAATGGGTAATATAATTGCCTGCTAATTAATTAATAATATTAATTGGCCAGTTAATTATTACTATTGACCAAAATGGAGTCCATAATTAAATTTTGCTGACTGTTCCCCTCATTAATCACAGCTCACTGCAGCCTCGAACTCCTGGGCTCAAGCCATGCTTCCACCTCAAATAGTTGGGACTACAGGAGCATGCCACCATGGGCGACTAAGTTTTTGTGTTTTTATTAGAGATGGGGTTTTGCCATGTTGGCTAGGCTGGTCTCGAACTCCTGGACTGAAGCAGTCTGCCTGCCTTGTCCTCCCAAAATGTTGAGATTACAGGTTTGAGCCACTGCATCTGGCTAAAAATTTTTTTGTAGAGATGGAGTCTCATTATGTTGCCCAGGCTTGTCTTTAACCCCTGACCTCAAGTGATCCTTCTGCCTCAGCTGCCCAAAGTGTGGGGATTACAGGTGTGAGCCTCTATTCCTGGTCCTTTCTTTGCGTTTAATGACTTTGACATTTGTACTGTAGAGACTAGATTTATACAGCGTCCCTTAATTTTGGTTTATATAATGTTTCCTGCTGATTAAATGGGCAAGACTGCTGTAAAGTAATGTTGTGTGTGCAGGGCACACTGACATTATCCTTGTTCACATCTGTTTGCCTGCTTTACTGGACTGTGAAGTGAATGTTTGCTTCATCTTTATGGCCCTAGTCTTGCCTGTTGCTCAACCTGGTCCAGATTAGGTGTCAGTAGGGGTTTGACTCTGACGTTCTAAGAAGGTGGCATTTCTTTTTCGGATGGCTGGTGGTGGCAGATGTTCTTTGGGAGATAAGGTCAGAGTGGGCCCAAGCCTGGATGTTGGTCACACATGGTCCCTCTCCTTCCTTCAGGATCCAGCCGCAGAAGCCAGGATGAAGGTAGCCTGCATCACAGAGCAGGTCTTGACCCTGGTCAACAGGAGAATAGGCCTTTACCGTCACTTTGATGAGACTGTCAATAGGTATAAGCAATCCCGGGACATCTCCACCCTCAACAGTGGCAAGAAGAGCCTGGAAACTGAACACAAGGCCTTGACCAGTGAGATTGCGCTGCTGCAGTCCAGGCTGAAGACAGAGGGCTCTGATCTGTGCGACAGAGTAAGTGTCGGGCATCACAGAGTCTCTTGGCTTGGGGTGCTCCATGCCTTACTGCTGTGTCCGGGGCATACACCAGGCAGCTCTCTTGCTTACCTGCATGCTTGTGGGATCAGACTGCATCTGGCCATAGCTTTTCATGTGGTACCAGTCTTTGTGGAGGAACAAGGGATTTTGGGGTCCTGGTTGTGAGCTGGGTTTGGAGGAAGCTCTGCCAGCCTCCTCAGCACTGTGTGCTCTTGTGGCCAGTATTGAGAGTAACTGCTGCTTCTCCTGGAGGCCAGACTGTCTAGGCCTCAGGCTGCTCATGTTGTTGAACCTAGTTTTAGAATCAATGGGTTTGAATCTAGGCTCTGATTCAGAGTTCGTAAACCTGGCCAAGTCACCTAACTTTCGTGCCTCAGTTTCCTTATCTGTAAAATGGGAATGCTGTTAGCCCCCTCACGGGGGTTGTGTGTGTGAAATGAGTTAATGCATGCAAAATGTTCAGAACTCTGCCTCATACAAACTATGTAAAGGAGTTATGTTATCTGTAAATGAGGACAGTAACCTCTTTGCAAAGGTGCCCCTCAGAGTCCCTGACTCCCCTGTCCCATCCCTGGCATTCCCTCCTGTCACCCTGTGTGAATTTCCTCATAACACCTACCATTTCTTTTTTTTTTTTTGGAGATAGGTTCTCACTCTGTTGCCCATGCTGCAGTGTAGTGGTGCAATCTCAGCTCATTGGAAGCCCCACCTTTAGGCTTAAGCAGTCCTCCTACCTCAGCCTCCCAAGTAGCTGGGACCACAGGTGCACACCACCATGCCTGGCTAAGTTTTTGTATTTTTTGTGCAGATGGGGGTTTCGCCATGTTGCCCAGGCTAGTCTTGATCTCCTGAGCTCAAGTGATCTGCCTGCCTTGGCTTCCACAGTGCTGGGATTACAGGCATGAGCCACTGCGCCTGGCCTGCACCTACCACTTTCTGAAATGATTTAATCTTGTGTCTAATTGTTAATTATATGTCAGCATCTGAGGGCAAGATCCCTCATCTGTCCTTATTGCTGTTTTCTGTAACCTAGAATCGTGCCTCACGCCGTGGCTCACTAAACATTTGTTGAATGTTGAATGAATGTGACTATACCAGTTCTCAGTGTGACATATAGTAGGTGACAATGGCTGTCACCCCCCTTTCCCTTGCCATTGGTGATTTGCCTAATTGAATCCCTGGACCTAATTTGGCAAGCTGTAGGAAGAGAAGGGACGGTAATAGAGCAGCCGCTATGTGCCAGGGCGTGTACCAGGTGCTGCCAAGTACTTTCACACTCAGTCCTCAACAATCCTGGAATGGAGATGAGGCCCAGGGATGGTGCAGGGCTTGTTCACAAGGGCCTAAGGACAGGGCTTGTGGGTGGTGAAGTTGGCATTTGAAGCCAGGCCTGTCTTCTCCATAGCCAGCCCTGCTGCCCTGGGACACTGTGCTCTTCGCTGTATTTGTGGCTGGTCCCTGTGGAGCTCTGGGGTCTATAGGCCTGGGAGATGGTGGGGCCTGCTGAGTTCGGTGGGAGGACCGCTCATAAGTCCTGCCCTGCTCTTGCCTCGGCCAGGTAAGCGAAATGCAGAAGCTGGATGCACAGGTCAAGGAGCTGGTGCTGAAGTCGGCGGTGGAGGCTGAGCGCCTGGTGGCTGGCAAGCTCAAGAAAGACACGTACATCGAGAATGAGAAGCTCATCTCAGGAAAGCGCCAGGAGCTGGTCACCAAGATCGACCACATCCTGGATGCCCTGTAGCCCCTGCCCATGTCCTCAGGGGGGCCCAGGGGTGCCTGTACTTCACAGTGGCATGCAGAGTGGGTGGTAGTGGGAGGTTGAGCATGGAGGCCAGTCAAGGCTGACATCTGTAAAAGGCCTTTAAGGAGGAGAAATCAGGCCTTGCCTCAGGCAATGTGAGAAGCTTGCTGTTGGTCCTTAAATCTTTCCTTTTTTTAAAAAAAACAAACAAAACCTTAAAAATACTCCCATTAAAAACAAAACATCTTTGTGTTTTGAACAAAGGAATTTTCAATATTTGATCGGTATTCTGTTCTGAAGCCTAGGATATTTTTTCAGCCTATAAAGTCCCTTATTTTATGCCCTTCTAATTCCTGATGTTTAGGTATTTTGTGAGTGCATGTGTTAACTTTTTTTTAAAAGCGTGTGTGAACAAATGGAAATAAAGCAGGGACTGTGAACATTGGTTTTTGTTCTGCTGAAGATCTCATAATTTAATTCTTAATTTTGGGAATAGCGCTTTTATCAAGTGTTTTTTATTCATTAAATAATGGATTTGCTTCTCGCAAGTTTGCAAGGCAAGCATTTACATTTTACATATTAGAACACTGAGGTATTCTAATACCAGAATGTTGAACGAGGTAAAGTGGCTTAGGTCACAGAATGGAGTAGTGGAGTGAGGCCTCCATTTTTGTAGTTTTTTCATCCTTCCTGTGAGTCACATTTTACTCAGCATCAAGGAAACAGTGATGAGCAAAGCAGAGGTGGTTGCTCTCAAGGGGCAAAGGATTGAAAGATCAGGTGGGTAATTGATAGTGCCAGTGAGTGCCAGGCTTTCTGCCCTCTTCCCTCTCTGGGGGGTTCACTCCCTGTCTCCACCTAATGAATTCCTGCTCAGCCTCAGGCAACAGCTTAAGGTTACTGGGTCAGGAAGCCGTCCACTGCCTGCCCCACCCAGTCAAGACCTGTGGTACCCTCGTTTTCCTTCATACTTCTCCTCCACCTCATCTACCACAGTTGGAATGTGTGTGATTACTGAACTAGCTTCAATAGGGCAGGAGTTTTATCTGATGTGCTCATCTTTATGTTAACAGCTAGGTGTTCAGCTCAATCTATGACACTTAGTTGGGTTATTGAATGTTTGCATGACTGGCTTACAAACAGCATTAATATTGGCAGGTGGGTTGAGGGATTACTGGGGACGTCTGTAGAAAACCAGTTGTGAGGAACTGATGTTGAATTTTGTTTCAGTTATGGCAAAATTGAGGTACTTGGGACATCCAAATGGGAATGTCCCTGGGCAGGTAGATAGTCAGGCCTTTGAATTCTAAGGTCTGGTGTGGAAATGGTAAATCTTGGGCTGCTGGGCCTGCAGATGGTTATGGAAAAGGTGAGAAGGAGGCTGTGGCAGGTGAGGGTGCCTAGGAAGGGTGTAGAATAAGAAGAGATCCAGAACTGAATATTATTATGACAAAGTAATAGTTGCCATCTGGGTTGACAAAGACCAGGTCTCTCCTAACCTGGGACAAGAAAGACCAGGACTGTGTGGTGTCATGAAGCCAAGTGGGAAAATGTTTCTAGGAGTGAACCATCAGCAAACGCTGTGGCTGAAGAGGAGACCAGGCAGTGCCTTTTGGCTGTAGGAGTGGATCACTGAAGCCTTTTACCCCTTTGGTCACTTGAGAACTGTGTTGGTGTGGGGATGGGAATTGGACGGAAGTGAGGCTTTCTCTGGATACTGACAGTGCATTTCGCTGTGAAAACAGGCTGTGAAAGGGATGATTGAGGGCCTCCAGGAGGATGTGCAGCTTGGCTGCTCTACTCTAAGGTGGAAGATACCAAATGTGTTAAATACCATTGGGAAAGTTCCGGTTGAAAATGAGAAGTTGAACATAGGGTTTTAGAGATTGTGCAGAGGGGAAATGGGGGTCCAAGGACAGTGGAAGGATGGGATGGACAGAAGGAGGACCTTCCAGAGTGGGGCTCTGCAGTCTGATCCCTGGAAGGAAGTCCCAGGCTTGCTGCTCTCTGTGACCTTAGGCAAGTGTTTCCGTGCAAAATGGAGCAGGGCTGTGTTGCCTGCTTCCTAGGATGGCTGTGTGGGTCACATGCGGTCATAATGTGATATAGCAAGTGCTTGTTAAACAGCTACGGTCCAGTCCTGCGACCCCAAGCTCTGGCCCGAGCCAGGAGCGGAGGATTGGTCCTGTCCTGAGGGTTGGAAGGCCTGGAGGCCGCGTTTAACCCGTGCTTCACACCACTGTGAAGTGGTGTGCCTGTGGACCTGGCCCCACGCACGCCTGGCCTCGGGAGCTCCTGCGGAAGGGTGTATATCCTGACATGCCTGGGAAGCGTCCGCTGCAGCCCCTGCTCCCTTAGGGAAGCTCCGGGCGGCAGTGCCTCACGGAGGGGCCCTGCTTTGCCGCGGCTGCATACCACCTCTGGCCATTTGGCCAGCTGCTTCACCAGCTGTCCTGTTTACTCATCTTACTCTCCCTGAAACTTTTTCTCCGTTTTTTGGAGCAGTCAGCTTAGCCGAAACCAAGAGAACTCGCTGGGCCCGCATGCAGGTTGGTAGGCGTTCTCTGCTGGCCTGGTGGGCTTCTCGCAGGCCCGAGCAGCGAGCTGCGCCTGCGCCCTGGCGTCCCTTTGAAACATTGCGGCATGTCACCAGGGGGCGCCGGGGAGTAAGGCCGAACACGCAGGCGCAGAGTGCGGGCTCGGGCTGGAAAAGTCGCGCATGCGTGGGGCTGCTCCTAATTTAGAGGCTGCGCGGCTCCGACAATTCTCCGGCTGTGGCGCCACCTATGGGTGTGGGCTCGTAAACGGCCGCTTCTGCCCGGACTGGGACTGGGTCTGGGGTCGGCAGGCTCAGGGCCACTGGGCTGCTGAGAGGCTTAGCCATGGGGACTTGGGCTCTCAGCTGCCCTGGAAGGCCGCAGGGCCAGCTGGGCTGGCCAAGGCCAGTGGCTCCCCCAGCATCCTGTGCTGGGTGCATCCCTGGGCCGGGTGGGGCATCCAGCGCTGCCCTCCCCACCCCGGACCTCTTCACATCCCTTGTTTGCTGGGATGGAGCGCCCTAGACCACTGGCAGCGGGCTTCCCTGACCCTGTTTCCCCAGTAGTAAACAGGGTTTGCTTTTCAGCTTTTGCCTCAGCTCTAGCCCGGTCTATTTCCCCTTTGTAAATCTCAGGGAGGAGATAAAGTGGGGCCCTGGCTGTAAAACCAGGTTCAGGCCAGGCATCCCTTGGCTCAAGGGGACATGCCCCAGACATCTGATAACTCATTTGGTGTTGGACCCAGCACATCCTTTCTGGCCCTCACATGGCTGTATAGGAGTGACCCACACACTCCTCCTGTTCAGATTCCCAGGCCACAGTCCCTTTTGTCCAGTCTTGGCCAAGATGCCTGACACTAGTGGTTTGGCCCTGGCAGCCTCCATGGCTGCAGCTTTGGGATGTCCCTGTAGCCGTAGGTGGTTGCATGGCAGGCCCCAGCCAGCAACCTGGACCCTGGCTCAGGGAGGGGAAAACACGGCTGAAGAAGGGTTGGGTGTCACTTTCTCTCTTCCATTTGTCTTAGAGGCTGTCATGGGAGAAAACCCCAAGGACCCAGTGCGCCCTCACAGTTTCACCACAAGTATCCTGACCGGGCGTCTGGTGCCGAGCTGATAGTGCAGGCCCCGGCCGCAGCCCCGCCGGAAGCCCATGCTGCCAGCGGTTGGGGGCCGCAGGCTCAGACAGGAAATGCCCCCGAGTGTACCCCAGGGCTCATGGCCTCTGCAAAGGCCTGATGCTTTGGATGAGACCTGGCGCCATTTTGAAGCTGGGCCTGCCTCTGGGACTCTGGCCTGGTTTTGGGGCTGGTTGCCTGAGATCTGGGGACTGCTTTGTCACCTGCTTGGACAGGTGTGGGAGATGGCGGAGGGAAGAGAGCACCTTCAGACTGGGCTAGAGCTGAAGCAAAAGCTGAATGAGGCAGCCTGTCACCTACCATGGCCAAGCCCTTTATGGTGTCCCCAGCTGAGCCCTTTAAGGCCTCAGCTTCCGTCAGGCCCTTGGTTCCACATGTAATATGACAGGCTCAGGGCCAAATGCAGGGATCACAGAAGGGAGCAGACAGCAGAATTACTGGGCGTCAGGAAAGGCAGGCCAGAAGGGAGGGCCATCAGGAGGGGCCATCGCTGCATCTGAAGGATTTGCCTGAGGGGGATGGTGGGGAGGGAGGCGTCCAGACTCTTTTTTGACCTCCACTCATGAGATAGAATCCAGAAAGATTTGTTTTCAGATGAGTGTCTCAGTCTGTTAGGGCTGCTATAACAAAATATCATAGACTGGGTAGCTATAAATAGAAATTTGCTTCTTACAGTTCTGGAGGCTGGGAAGTCCAAGATCAAGGCATCGGCAGATTTGGTGTTGAGAGACCCTGTTGCTTAGTTCAAAGATGGGACCTTCTCGTGTCCTCACATGGTGGCAGAGATGAGGGAACTCTCATCTTATAAGGGCACTAATGTCCATTCATGAGGACTCTACCCTCATGGCCTAATCACCTCTCAAACGTGCCACCCCTTAATGCTTCATACTGGGGTTAAGGTTTCAACGTAGGAATTCTAGGGGGATGCAGACAGTCAGTCTGTAACTGTGGGAAGGACAGGAGCCTGTTCAAATGCTGATGGGAAGGAAGGAAGTAACAGACACAAAGGTTGAAGATCCAGGAGAGAAGGGGCCCATGAATAGATCCCTGTAGAGCAGGATTGGGTGGGATTGAGGGCTTAAGGGAGAGATCTCATGGGAGAGTCCTGAGAAATTGTGCCTTTGTTAGCACTGAGGAGGAGATCAGCAAAGACCCATTGAAGCTTCGCCTCCTGGGCAGCCTTCCCTATTCTCCAGGTGGGCTGAGAGTTCCCTGCCTTGCACCACTGGGCCTTACTCTCTGAAGTGGAATGGATTGTTTGCCTCCCCAGACTGGGTGCTCTCTTTCAGTAGAGTTTAAACAGAGGCAGTGCATCAATTCATTTAACAAATATCCTCAACTGAGTGTAGTGTACTTTATAAATGTCCCCCCAACACTTTGTGAGGCTGAGGGGGGAGGATCATTTAACCCGGGAGGTTAAGGCTGCAGTGTTATGATCACACCACTGCACTCCAGCCTGGGTGACAGAGTGAGACCCTATCTTGAAAACAAAAACAATTTTTGTATATTTCGTAGAGATGGGGTTTCACCATGTTGCTGAGGCTGGTGTGGAATTCCTGGGCTCAAATGGTCTGCCTGCCTCGGCCTCCTGAAGTGCTGAGATTATAGGCATGAGCCACCACCCCTGGCCCATTTGCCATTTTTAAGTAATGGACAAAGTTGGTCATTTTTCCTTGTGAATTTGCCGTCTTCTGTGTGGTTTATGTATTGTTGAGGTTTTTGCCCTTTTCATAGGTGACTAGGAAAGCTAGTAACAGAAAAATGGGTGCTCAT